AAATAAAGGCAGGAGCACACACAACTCAAAAAGTTTTTTTTCTGTAAAGTAGAACAGAGAAATGGGAGAACAGCTGAAAGGGGATTATAGGTCAAGAAGGCATTTTTTGAGATGCAAGAAATTATAGCATGTTTGTAAGCTAAAGAGAATTCTCTCAAGGAGAAAGAGATTTTGATGAAACAAAATTGTTACATTTGGCATCAGTGAATAATGTAATAACCACAGACATCATGATTTGATTGCCAAACTTAATCCAAATTTTTACTTTTGAATGGTTTTTACCTGAAAAAAACACAGTTGTTGCTGCAAGCAGAGCATATTCAGTATTAGTAATATTAAGCTCACTCATTCTTCTGTAGAAGTAAAACAATGTGTTAATAAATTCTTCAGCAATACCTAAAAAGATTAATATCAAATGTATTTTTGTCAGAACATAGTGCAGAATCAAACATATTGTCATTATCATTTTTTCTTAAAGCAGAATAATAAAATAAAACATTATATCTGACCAATTTTTTCCACCCATTATATTTTGTATGATATGTAACATTACCAGTCAGTGTAGTAGGAGGACAGTCTTCGTTGCAAAAGGTTTCCATAGAATAAATAACACTTCTATTAACACTCTGATTGTGACAATTCAGTGAGTGATCTGAATGATCTGATATTCTCATAGTACCTAGTAACAGGGGAAAACATAAAGTCTGATTTTTAAAAAAAAACTTTACACAGTAAATCCATTCTCTCTAATCTGTTAGGAAACATTCCCAACAAATGGTAGATTTATAATTTTTATTACTGAAACAGGAAGTGAGATTAATAGTTTAGATTTTATATAAATTTTGTGTAGAAAACCTTCCAAAAAGATTTTTCTTATGATGCCATATAATAAAAATGGTTTACTTTAAAAGAAAAGCAAAAGCTAGACCAATGAATTAGAAAAGCTATTACGAAATTCTTATTACTACACTAACTAGTAAAACAAAAATATAATAAGAAAAATAACTCAATGTGGTATAATTTGTTGCTGTATTTAATAGTAACTGTTAACAGTAAGGTTATGTTGGCCGGACTTTTTTACTTTCAGAAGCTGACGAAAGACATTCTTTCAGGCTGTAAAGTTGGGCCCCGTGAAGAAACATCACTTCAGTTTTTGATCCTTTACGTAATGCAGTCTGGTCCTCAGTTGTCAAATTTTCAAATCCTTTAACAAAAGATCACATAATTGTTTGAAATCAATAATGAAAAGATAATTTTCAGGTATAAGATTTAGTATTTTTAACTATCCATTTAGTTATAATATAAATCCTAAATGTTTCCTTAGAATAATCACAATTTGTAACTTCAAATCTAAATAAAATTCTTGATTCCACATGATAATATTTTGGAGCACTTTCATCAGAACTAGATAATAATACTTTCATATGGCAAGAGCAAATCAAACATAGTTTAGCCTCAAAGAATTTATTTTTACAGTGAGTTATCTATATATGTAGATAGGTAAGTTTTGGCCAACTGTACCTTGATTTTTTCATACTGTACTGGCAATTTTGTTTGTTTCATGTTTTAGCTAAAGTTAAAAGATACAGTCATATTATTTCTCTTGTTCCTAAGTCCTTGGAGTCATTTGAATATTTTAAAATATTTATACTTTCAACTACCTGATTGTTTAAAGCAGACAAAATGAACCATTTCCACCAGCTTTGCTGGAAAAATAGAGGTTTTTGTTTTCCTAAATGGTCCCCTTCCTTTAAAATAGGAAACTTAAAAAAAAAAAAGTATTGGGGCGCCTGGGTGGCTCAGTCGGTTATGCGTCCGACTTCAGCTCAGGTCATGATCTCGCGGTCCATGAGTTCAGGCCCTATGTCGGGCTCTATGCTGCCAGTTCAGAGCCTGGACCCTGCTTCAGATTCTGTGTCTCCCCCTCTCTCTGCCCCTCCCCTGCTCGTGCTCTGTCTCTCTCTGTCTCAAAAAAATAAAGCATTAAAAAAAAATTTTTTTTAATTAAAAAAAAAGGTTAATTTTTTTTCCAAAGGTGAAGTGATTACCTGGGAGTCCCTTGGTAAAATCCACTAACCCCTGTAGGTGTAGGACCATGGTCTCCGAGAGTTGCAAAAAGCTCAGCTCAGGATTTGCATATTTCTGGAGCTAGCCAGCAAAAAGAAATAAGGCTATTAGATTTTTTTCTTTTAAGTAAATTAAAATGTTAAACTTTTAAATTACAAGTTTAAATTTTTAACTTTCACATTGACACTCTTATTTTCTAACATAATTAGTTATAAATTATTTCCTGCCAATAATGAACACATACAAACATCTTTGTTTCCTCTAAAGAACTTGTGTATTTTTGATGAGCAGCCACAATGTCCTTAATGAGCTGATGTTCCTCGTGAGTTAGTTCCATGCTCTCCTTAATCTGTAAGAAAACATGGGGGAGGGAGGAGAACTATAATGAATTCTTATTAAACAAGACATCATGTCATCATTAAAGAAACAAGAAATTTTATAAGAAGAGTCTTGCCACTTTTCCAGATCTAGTGGTGGATGATACAAGCTTGTTGTCTACTTCCTCTTCCACTTTGATGCTAGAGGAAAAACTATTCTTCTGCTTAAAATTCTTTCGAAGTCTCTTTGATTTGCATTGGATTTCTGTGAGCAAACCTGTGATATTACAAAATTCATATAAAATGTTTTAGGTATGGCAAATAACATTCTAGGATTTGATAAAAATTATCTTATACTGGATACATATATAATCATAGACTTGTCTTTTCACAAAGAATCTTTCTCTTATGGCAAGCAGCAATTAAATTTACTACATTACTTTCTCCTTTTCCTTCCATCACTACCTTCTACTTAAAAATACATAGTTAGCCTATGGGCACCTGGGTGGCTCAGTCGGTTGAGCTTCCAACTTCGGCTCAGGTCATGATCTCATGGCCCGTGACTTCAAGCCACGCATCAATCAGGCTTTGTGCTGACAGCTCAGAGCCTGGAGCCTGCTTCGGATTCTGCATCTCCCTCTCTCTCTGCCCCTCCTCCACTCGCACTGTGTCTCAAAAAATAAATAAACATCAAAAAAAATACATAGCCTAGACATAAATTAAAAATTAATTTTGCATCTCCAAACTATACGTTTAGACCTTTTTATGTCAGAGAAATATACACATTAATTAGATCTTGGAAGTAATATAAAATATCAATTGGTAGAGCAGTTGAACTAACTACCTTATCCATGAGCTTTTTTCTTTGATTTTTATATAAGGTCAAGAGAATATTTTGTGATTTTTCAAATGAGCTAAGTCAATTTTTTCCTAACAAGACAAGAAAATGGTATTTTGTTATGGCAGCCCGAGCAGTCTCAAGACAGGGATAAACTAAAGGATTCAGGCTGGACAGGATAACCTTAAGATCTTCTCCAACCCTAGAATCTTAAATAGGAATCCTTTCGCTCAAAAACTTTGAAGAGTTTGGATTTTATTATAATAAGCTGTATTTAAAAAAAACAGGATACTGCATTGGTATTTATTGAACAAGAATGTAACTTAATAAAAATTGAAGAATATTATAGCAGTGGAAGGTAGATTGAACTAAAAAACAGAAAATGAAGAAATAGCCATAAAATTAATATAATAGTATAAGTGCAAGATGATAAGAGTTTGTGCAAGATTAGACATGAGAAGAAAACCTTGATAGTACCTTACTAAGAAAAATGAAATTTTGAAATCACCATGAGATTTTGAGCCCTGGGAAATAGGAGAAATTGAGGAAATAATGCCAAAATCTTAGTGCTACTCTGAGGATTAAATGACATCATGTAAGTTATCAGCTAAAAACTCAGTGAACATATCAGGAACCCAAACAGCTTAGCTACTCTTCTGCCTGTTGAGTTGGGTTTTGACACCTATGGGTTGTTAGTAGGCTCTACTTCCCTATCATGGTATCATGGAGGCTTGTAAAGATACCAGACCAAAGAAGGGGAACTACCAATTTAAAATTCTGCTCTTTTGGGCCGCCTGGGTGGCTCAGTCGGTTGGGCGTCCGACTTCAGCTCAGGTCACGATCTCGCGGTCCGTGGGTTCGAGCCCCGTGTCGGGCTCTGGGCTGATGGCTCAGAGCCTGGAGCCTGCTTCCGATTCTGTGTCTCCCTCTCTCTCTGCCCCTCCCCCGTTCATGCTCTGTCTCTCTCTGTCCCAAAAATAAATAAACGTTAAAAAAAATTTTTTTTAATAAAATTCTGCTCTTTATAGATACATTATATAACTTTAGGTTAAGTAACATGGCAGTACAAGGATTTCCAGTTAAGAACATAAGATTACTGGCAAAATTAGAGCAATATAGTATAGAACGGGGTTTATGGAAATAATTACCTAGATTGGTTACTGGTCATCCTAATTTATCAGTTGCTAGAGAAATAGCTTAAATCTAGACAACTATGTTACAATTCAAAATGACAATCTGAGGAATGCATTGTCAGGAAGGTAAGAAAAACTAAAATCCCCCTCAAAAAAAGAGCCCCCCAAATCCACAATACTTACACTCTGCCAACATTCCTACTGCCTTACACTTTTTTAGTCTGCACTCTTGACATTTCCTACGCATGTACATGTCCATTTCACAGTGGCCACCATTCTTGCAATGATATACTGCATTTTTGGTGATGCTACGTCGAAAAAAACCTAATGACAAGAAAAACTACTTTTAAAATTTACGATTAGGTATTTTTAGTTGTTTTTCATTAATATATACCTTCCTAGTAAAATGATCAAAATAAAATTATTTCAATAAAATGTGTTTTTCTATCAATAAGAAGGTTTGGTTTGATTGATATACATTTATATTCCCTCATGATTGATAATATTCTATTCCAAGGGTATTCCTTTCAATAATCGCATCCGAAAATTAAACTAAATAGCTCCAATACATTAAGATTTTATTTTATCTATTTTACTATGGTTATACTATGTCATCTAAAGCATTTTTATAACTATGTTCTGCAGACTATCAAGATTCCATGAAGCATCTCTCTAGCTGCCTTTGAAATAATATGTGCTCAGGTGAAACCTCTTTTCTGCTCTCCTCACATTTCCACCTCAACCCATAAAGGAAGAGTTATTCTTTGAAACTTAGTCCCCTGTCCTTCCTTTTTTAGCACCCCCACAGGTGAGACATTGAGTCGGCTGTGTTATGTGTGTGTGTGTTTTGGTGGAGGTATCTATATTTTCTCTTTCATTTCCTAAATCCATGCATAGCAGTCCCCCTTCCCATTTCCTCTTTTATTTTCCATTTCTCTGTAGTCACCCCTGCTACCTTCTTAATCCATTCCAAGCAGTAAAGTTGATAAGCCATGTCAATGCCTCTCTCAGAGGCCTGCCATACCTTTTTTCTGTAGCCACACTTGAGAGTGAGAGTTTCATGACTTAGATTCAACAAAGGGAGCAGAAAGGTCAGCTGAAGTCTTCAAGAACTATGCCTCATCCTCCACCTAGTTTTAACAGCAAGGCCCTGCATTTTAAGAGTAAGCAAATACATGCCCAGCTATTCTATTCACAAAGCTGGAACTTCATTTCCCACAGTCTTTATTTGGCTATTCTTTGTGAGGGGTATGCTGTGAGATTCTGACAGTAAGTCTTCACCGTGAACTTCTAATAGATATGTTTACCTAGTGCTGCATTGGCCTAAGCATTTCCAGGTCTGTCTCAACATTGCATTTGTAAATAAAAATAGTGCAGAAATGTTTTAATACCTCGAAATTTCATCAAGGGCTATTTCACTTTTTGAAAATTTCATTGTCAATAATGATCTTTGCTTGCAAACTTCCCATTTGTTTTCAAAAAAGCATTCCAAAAGAATTAAAATAGACTCATAGAAGTCATTTAATTTCAAATTCCTTTCTAATGCATGAATTATACCAGCCGCATGAGAAGATGTATTAGTTACCATTCAGATGGTTTTAAAAGTCATTTTCCATTCCAATATCAGATTCATCTAGGAACACAGAAACCTCCTGCTATTATATAAATATTGAAGTTTGTATTTAAATGCAAAACTTTTCATCAAAAATGAAAACTAAATCAAAACTTTATTACATTCCACTTTCATGTCTTTTATGCCACAGATGGATCACCTTTAAATACATCAATGGGTCCCCCTGGTTTTCTTTTTCACACTTTAAAAAGTAAGGCTATTCTTACAGGCCTAAAATTTCATGTCTCTTCAGTGAACACTAGGACTTCAGTTTCGTTTCAACTTTATCCTTACCTTTGCAACCTTCACAAGTAAGTGCATTATAATGATATCCTGATGCTTTATCACCACAAACTACACAGAGGTCTTCCTGTCTCTTAATTCGCATAGAAGAATGAGTTAGTCTGGACCTTTTTATTCCAGAGTATCCATCTTCAACATCATGGTCAACCACATAAGTGGGTTTATTTAATTCACAGGAAACAAGTCCACATTCTCCACCACTGAACTGTGGATCCAAGCTGCAAGTGTTGAAATGACTTTGTAAAGATTGGGACTGTAGAGCTGTTGGCAACTGGACGGTAGAATACTGGCAAAAAGGCGATTCTTGAAAATCAGTGTCGTACAGCTGATAACTGATTTGCTCTGGCAGAATATCTAGGTGTTTTTAGCATAAACAAAGAACAAATGGTAAAAAGTCAAAATTTCATAATTGTTTTCAAAGGTCAAAGAGTTTTATGCTCAACAAACAGTTCAACATGTCCACTACATCCCAGGGACTTGCTGTCCAGCATGAGGAGCAGGCAGTAAACTGTATTGCAATGCATCATAAGTGCTGCCGTCCCAGTGGTATGCAGAGGTTGCCCAGGAACTGGGAGAAAGGGCAGTCATTGCTAATGGCCTGCATACCAACTCCAGCCTCCTTCTTAAATACAAATGTGTATTTCCCAAAGTTTGGAATGAAAGAAGGTTTTCCCCACTGTATGCATTTCCCTTATTGTGGATACAACCGTTTGCAGTGCAGTGAGGCCAACAAAGAGATGAGTTCATAAATTAGCACCTCCCCAAAATACCAACCTGAAATACAATTTTACCAGTTACCTGGTTATTTCAAGCAAAGAAAATTTTTTTTCCTGGGGCTCCTAGCTGGCTTAGGAGCTTAAGTCTGTTAAGCCTAGCTGGCTTAGTCAGTTAAGTGTCCAAGTTCAGCTCAGGTCATGATTTCACAGTTCATGAGTTCAGTTCATGAGTTCAAGTCCCGTGTTGGGCTTTGTGCTGACAGCGTGGAGCCTGCTTGGGATTCTCTCTCTCTCCCTCTCTCTCTGCCCCTCCCTGACTCGTGCTTTCTCTCTCTCTCTCAAAATAAATAAATTAATTTAAAAAATATTATTTACTTGAACTCCCCATTTAATATACCTTAACACTCTCCTTTGCAATTCATAGGCCTGATTTAAATTACTAGTTTCTTTTGTGTTTTGTTGACTAACAGTTCTAACTAGCAATTATGTGGTGATAAGTTCACCTACCTCAAAGGGTTACTGTAAGGATAAATAAAAGATGATATGCAAAAGCAAATATAAAACATAAAACATAAAATACAAAATAATGCTTAATGAATATCACTATTATAATTATCAGAAGCTCCCAAACACCAACTTACTTTTCACTTTCAGCAAAATTGTTAAATCTAAATCCAGAAAATTGGCTCCAAATGGATCCAGGAGTACTGAGTGCCCTATGTCTGTAACTAGCAATATTTGTACTTTTCCTGATGCTGAATCACCAGGTGATTAACCTCAAAATTCTACCAAGATCAGTAAACATTATAATTTTCATTAACTAACTCACATAAGTCACTTGCAATCTTAGAGCATTCAGTCTAATGCTAAGTGTTGAGTAAATACTAATGACCACCTGATATGAAAAGAAAGGTTATCAGTAAAAACAATGTAACTTTTTTTAAAAGAAGAAGGTCCTTTCTGACTGAGTGTCAAAAGACTGTAGAATACTGGCTGATGTTCCATTGTCATGGCAATCCAAGTTGAAATCTCAACCCTAACCTTACCCTTGACAAGAAAACTGCCCCTAAAATAAATTTATATTATAGCCTTACTCTTTTTGGAGAAAATTCCCGTCATATCCTGCATTCTGTTTCTATTTCTTTCCCTTTGATAAAAATCTTATATCAAGATTAAAATTTCAAGTATATTGAATAGCACTCTGAGCTACATTTACTAAATTGCATGTGAACTAGCTACAACTAACTCCTAAAACAACTTCTAATGTGCATGTTAATTCACATTTTAAAAATTAAATACAATTTTGTACTATCTTGATTTTCCCTCCTTTTTTTTTTTTAAAGTTTATTTATTTTGAGAGAGAGAGAGAGTACTCCTGCAGGCACACGGACGAGGGTCAGAGCAAGGGAGAGAGAATCCCAAGCAGGCTCCTAGCTATCAGCACAAAGCCCAACTCAGGGCTCCATCCCATGAACTGTGAGATCATAACCTGAGCCAAAATCAAGAGTCTGATGCTCAACCGACTGAGTTACCCAAGCACGCTGGGCTTTTCCCTTTTACAATTGATTCTGGCTTAGAATATTTTCATATTACTGATTTTTTAAATTATATTCTCATAGAGGGAATAATTTTTTATTAAGTTTTTTATCTTAATTCCTCTTGTTGAGAATAATTTAAAGTCTTTGGTTTACTTGTTTATTTCTTTTTTTAAAAAAACCCTATTATTAACCAATATTACACACACACAAAAATGTTTTATTAACTATTATACTGTATTTGTCTACATACCATAGTACTGCACTGGTTCAGCAAGACAGTACCCATCAGATGTAGTAACATAAGTATTTGCCATTCTCTGGTCCAATTCTCACTTACTCATCAGTGAATGCTGAAATAGAGCCTGAAGGAAATAAAACTTTTGTAGAATATCTGAAAGCATGATTATCAACTCAGCATGACTTTATAAAAGTACAGTACTATTTTTGGAAAAGAGGAGTTAGCAGAATTTATACTAAAATTAGACATCTATATTTATACTTTAAAATTGGAAAAATAGTGAGTTTTCAGTTTCTAAACACCAAATTATTAATTCTGCCAATTTCTTTATACATATTTTTTTTAATTTTTAATGTTAATTTTTGAAAGAGAGAGAGAGATCATGAGCAGGGGAGGGGCAGAGAGATAGTGAGACACAGAATCCAAAGCAGGCTCCAGGCTCTGAGCTGTCAGCACAGAGCCCGAAGTGGGGCTCGAACCCATGAAACGTGAGATCATGAACCGAGCCAAAGTCGGACATTTAACTGAGCCACCCAGGCATCCCTAATTTTGCCAATTTCTTATTGCTCAGCTCTTTACAAATAACTCATTAAACCTTGGTAATAATCAATGTAGCTTTTTTTTTTTTTTTTTTTTTTTAATGTGGCTTTTGAAAGTATACCAAGCTTTGGTGTCAGGCTTCATACACTGCTTTCACCACTTACTTATGGGTCATTTATTAAACCTCCCTAAACCTTAGGGTTTAGGGTTTAGGGTTTATTAAACCTCCCTAAACATTTGTAGAAGAAAAATAATAAAACCCTCCTGGCAAAATTATTGGGAGAGTTTAATTTAATGTATGTAAAATCCAGCACACTTCTTGTCTTAATAACTGATTCTCATAATCTCTATTCTAATAGGTTCAACATTTCACTGTTCTAAATTTAGAGGAACTAGGAAGAAAAATGAGACTTTTTCACGAAGGAAATTAAAGAGTAAGAAAAAATGCCTTTCATAGCACTTGTGTTTATGTTCTAAGTCCTCTATAAATATTTTTCATAGTCCTATGATATGCTAAACATTAAAACATTAATTTTGGTTCTGCTTAACTAAAATTTTATTTTTTTATTTATTAAAGAAAGTTTATGGATTACTGGAGAAAGTGTTTTATTTTTAATAGTAAAGCCTAAAAATCATAAGCTGTTATAAGAAAAATTATTCAAAATCTAAGGCTATCCTTTAATGGGAAAAAAAAAGTCTTTATTTTTGTTATTTCCTAGAAAGGAACTCCAAAAATTTAAATAAACTTAAACAGGAAATCACAGTTTAAGAGATTGAAAATTATTGGAAGAAAATAAAGTTCACCCTAGAGTCCATCGTATCTTACAGCTTTATCTTCTCTATTAGAAGATAAAGACTGTTTTCACCTTCAAAAAGAACCAAAAAAGGAGAAATTGGGGTTTTAAATCATGCCAGAAAATTTATGTGACCAACTTCTGAGACAGTCTCTGAGCTTATATTGAAAAATCTTTCACTTGGATTTATTACCCATGTGACGAGTTCGTGGCTAAGGTTTCTATGTCCACGAAGACGGTTCAAATAGTAATATCTCTGAAATGTGTCCCCTTTATCATCTAATAGAATGTATGCTCCTTTAAAAGCGTTTGAATCTCCAGTCTTCTGACAGCATAGCAGTCAGTAGAATGAGCATTGGATGGAAGAGATGAAGCAAAAGCAGTGCCCCCAAATAAGTGCAACTTTGATATGAAGTTTTCCTTCCTTGAAAAGTCAGGACTAAAATCAGTATGATCAGTCAGCATACACTTCTGTGTTTCCTATATTGCAACAGGTCAATTGGCCCTCCATAGAAAAAACAATTCTGAATGCCATCCACTTAATTTGTGTGGTCCGTTTTAGCAATGATCCTGTTCAGTTCTTTCCAAACTTCTCTTTGGAGTCTCAATTCAATTTCATAAAATTATAAATGAATGTGAAAACTTGAAGTTGTTATTCACCCTCCTTTAAAATTGCTGCATTTGCCATGAGGCTTCATACAATATTGAATATCTGAAGAAGTCTGAAAATTTAAAAGTATTTGGTACTACTTAGATACAGACTTTGCTGAGGGAGAGTTTGAGAAATAATATAGAACAAACCAGAGGTAGCACATTAAAACAAAACTGGTAGTATCCTGACAAAGACACACACAAGTATCCTGTAGTAATGCCACTATCAGGGTTCAAATCACAAACAATGATGTTCTAAAATCCAGTCCTTCCAATGCTGGTAAATAAACACCCAAAAATATTATCTAAAGTAAACCTGTTTTTATCAGTTTATGGACTTGTTATATTCCAGGGCATACATGAAACATACATAAATAAGCCTTTGATTAAAAATATGCTTCTTAAAATATGAAATATTCATCTCTCTAAATGCTTACAGTAATGTTGCGTTATTTTCTACATAAAATTTTTCACTAATTTTCTACAGTCTTTTAGATGTTTAATAGAAGTATTTTAATATGTATACATAGTAAATAAAAGCTTTCAGAAATACAGTGTTCGTACAATTAGTTTAAGATCACTTAAGTAAATTATTAATAACATAGAGAAAGGTATGTAATCAAAGACTTCCTATCCTGTTAAAAGTTACAATAGGCCTGGCGTGATTCTGTTTTGTTATCTTTCCTAGTAAATATTTACTTAAAAACAAAAATAACTTAGTTAAGAGAGAAGCTTTTATCAAGAGGATCAATTTGGCATGGGCAAAGTCTGTATTTTCTTTCTAGAACAAATATAACTTTATGAAAAAATTGTACTTTCCACAGATCATAATAGCTATTTACCTGAAAAGATGCTTAATTGCAGAAATGAATTTGCATCTCCTCTGCCTTAACCCTAAATCATGCGTAGGAAATCTTCACGTAGCTAGAACTTTTAACAGGAAAAACATATTGACTCCAGAGAACTACAGTGACACGTTAAAGGCACGGTTTTTACATTTTCACTCTTGCAATAGGTCACTTGAATCATGAATAATGCATTGCATAAAACTGATATCACTGAAAAGTAGATAGCTTCATAAGAAAAACATTTTACTCTTCAGAGTAGCCTCTACTAGAAAAAAAGGAATGATAGTGCTGTATGATACACAATTATAAAAAGGTTTTTCAGAGCAGAATTCTTTGATCCAAAATTCTCTGAGCTTATTGGAACCAAAGAAAATGAAAAGAATATATTTGAATAACAGCACAAATTAAGGCTTCTGGATTCCTTTACAAGGATCTGTCCTTTAACCTTCGAATACTTGGAGGATTTTACACTGTGAAGTCTTCACATACAGTTTTATCATGCAGCTTTTTTGAGATGTAATTTACATAATCTAAAATTCGCCCTTTTAAAATGTACAATTCGTGGTTTTTAGAATACTCAGAGTGTGCAACTATCACCACCATCTAATTGCAGAGCATTTTTATTACTGCAAAGTGAAATCCTATACCCATAAACAGTCTCTCCTCATTCTCTTCTCCCCCCCCCATCCTTAGCAACCACCAATCCACTTTCTGTGTCTATGTATTTGCCTATTCTAGACATTTCATATAAATGGAATCCTACAATTCCATATATAGTTTTAAATGAAAAAACATATTTAGTTAATATCATGTCAAGTAATTTTTACAGCTTAAGAAAGAGAAAACAGACTAAATGTTTAGAAAATTCATGGCTATGAATTTAATGTATACTCCACAAACTGTTGGAAATAGTTTGTGTCTACTTCCATAATCTGGAAGAATGTTTATAAATATCATCATAGCATTTTGAACAGAGGTGTAATTCCCTGAATATACCCCTATCAGAATATATTTCAAGTTGCCTTCAATTTACATATAACCTATTGCTTTAAAAAATAAAATGTGTTTTAAGAGTAAGTTCTTGATTAAAAACACATTTCATTTTTAAATATGAGAGTAAATACCACTGTGAATCAACTTACATTATTACATCGAATGTCACCTGAAGTCCAACTACGGTTCAAAATTGCCTTGTCATTCTTCAGGGGAAAACCAAACCACTGTATAAGCTACTTAAGTTTCTCGTTTTCAAGGAGCAAATGCTTTTTATAGTTTGACTATCATAGAAACAACATTGGCTTATTTGCTTTGCAAAAATTAATGATGATGGAAACTAAAGGGTTCCAAAAATACCCTTAACACCTTCCAGTTTAATAATAGTTTAAATTGCCAACAAAATTAATATTCATATTTAATTTAGACAGCATAAAACTATAAAATTTTGTGTTTTGAAAGAAGACAAAATACTCACAGTTAAATGATATTACTAGAGATTGTCCTTTTCCTCGCAGAACAAGTATAGATAGATTTAACAAGGACTTCAACTTTCCAGCTGGAGCAAATTGGACCTTTTCCCTATTTATCAAGGAGCGGAGAGGGGGGCACTCTGCATACACTTAGGCTCCAGACACTCTGCAGAGCAACGCTTCAGCTCTATCTCAGAGACAAACTTCCCAGACAATCCTCTCTTAGGTCAAAACAAGGGCAGTTATTATTTGACATAAATCAAATAATAACCAGATCATCAGGGATAGAGTTCTTTGGGACCTTCAGGTCACACTCTCCCAGAGTTCCTTATTGTTTACTTAATAAATATTTTGTTTTCTTGATTAAATTTGACATTCTCCCACTTTGGTTACAAAACACTGGGTCTCTAGAAACTACTAAGCAATATGTACAGGAAAGGAAAAACCATCATTAATTCAAACGTCATTAATACAGGTGTTATAACAATTCAACTTGAAGTTTATCTCTGCATTACCTACAAAATAATTGTTAATCCAATTAGAAATGTTGATAATAATTCAGATCAGTACAGTGTTACATGTATACAAGCCATCTAGTCCAACCCTCTCAATGTTTTGGCTTAAAAAACTGCAACACCAATAAATACTACTCCTGGTTCAAGTTCTCATAGCTAAGCCAGTTAGTAGCAGAGGTGAAACTCAATGAAAATTCATGTAGTTGAACAAGATACATAAATAACTTCACTATGATTTTTTTTTAATGTCACTTACGTAAACAAAGTCTGTGGGCTACCAGGCTCATAGTATCATCCCTGTAAGGCATCTCTACAGAGGCATGTTCCACCATTAACCTCCAATTCTTCTGGTAACACCTCCTCTAACTCACCTATTTTACGTGACTCTAGGCTCTGGTCTCTGTCCTGCCCAGTTCTGCTTGCACATTAACGTAGCACAGTATACATTTCCACCTTTCTTGGCATCTTAGTCCACGTCCCGTTTCTGACTTCACAACTACTATATCTGCTGAATTCTTCAAGGGACCTTATCTACTACTGGGAAGAATTCATGATAAAATCTGCAAGTCATGTCACATAGGGTTTTGTTTATTTCTTAAAAGAATAGGCCCTGTGTCTATGAATTTTAATCCGTGAACCAAAGAATAATAGTTCCAGCATGATAAATTCATTTATTTGATTATAAAATATTCCAAAAACAGGCTCCAAATTATGTCTCAAAAGAACTGACACTCTACTGGAAACCTTACAATGAAATAAGGCAAAACAAACATACACTACTTGATGTGTTTTAAAAGCAATGTTTAACTTCTAAATATTTATCAGGAACATTTGCTTCTCAAAAAAAACATTTTTAAAAGAACTTCAGCCCTTTCAGTATTAGTATACAAGTATCAGGGATAGTTTGTAAATTATTTTATCATTTTTTTATTTTTTTAATTGAGGTGTAATTGACATAAGACCTTGTATTAGTTTCAGGTTTACAACATAATTCAATATTTGTATGTATTGTCAAATGATCAACATAATAAGTCTAGTTAAGGTCTGTTACCATACATAGTTACAAATTTTTTTCCTGTGATGAGAGCTTTTAAGATCTACTCGTTTAGCAAATAGCAAATATGCAGTACAGTATACTAAGTATAGTTACCATCCTGTTCATTATTTTATTTTATAGCTGGAAGTTTGTGCCTTTTGATCCCCTTCACCCATTTTGCCCACCCTCCACTCCCTACCCCCCGGCAATCACCAATTTGTCCTATGAGACTGGTTGTTGTATTTTGCTTTTTTTAGGATTCCGCATATAATTGAGATCATGCGATATTTGTCCTTGTCTGACTCATTTCATTCATTTCACTTAGCATGATGCCCTCAAGGTCCATCCCTGTTGTTGTAAATGTAAATGGTATACATCATGTTTTCTTTATTCATTCATCTATCCATGCACACTGAGGTTGTTTCCATATGTTGCCTCTTGTAAATAATGCTGCAATGAACATGGGATTGCATATTTATTTTCAAGTTAGTGTTTTCATTTTTTTTTTCAGATAAATATCCAGAAGTGTAATTTCTTGATCATATAATAGTTCTATTTATAATTTTGGGGGGATTCTCCATATTGTTTTCCATGATGGCTGCACCAATTTGCAGTCCCACCAACAGTGTACAACAGTTCCCTTTTCTCCACATCCTCATCAATGCTTGTTATTTCTTGTCTTTTTGATAACAGACATTCTAACAGGTGTGATATGATATCTCATCATGGTTTTGATATGCATTTACCTGATGATTAATGATGTTGAGCACCTTTTCAGGTACCTGTTGGCCACCTCTATATCATCTTTGAAAAAATGTCTATAGGTCCTCTGCCCACTCTGTAATCAGATTGTTTACTATTGAACTATATGAGTTCTCTATATATTTTGGAAATTAACCCCTTACCAGATATATGATTTCCAAAAGTTTTCTCCCATTAAGTAGGTTGCCTTTTCATTTTGTTGATTTTGAGTATTTCCTTTGGTGCACAGAGGCTTTTTAGTTTAACGTAGTCCCACTTTTTATTTTTGCTTTTGTTGCCTTTGCTATTGGTGTTAGATCCAAAATATCATCACCAAGACCAATGCAATGAGCTTATAGTCCATGTTTACTTCTAGGAGCTTTGTAAATTAATTTTATTATTCAGATAATTACCAGTTTTAGCCTCTACTTATAACTATAATTATTAGTTTCTGTATTCAGTAATGTATCTCAAATGCTCATTAATGATTCAAACGTTTCATTAATTCATATCACCATGACCACTTACACCCTCATTCCACCCTTACTATATCTGAAATATTACAATTCATTGCCACCAGCTTCCTTGTTTAGCATTGCAAAGAGTAATTCATTCAGACCTTTTCCGTTACAAATTTTTATATGTACTTCCCTGGTTTATGATAACACCCTAGACTTACTATGTTGTTCACATAGTACTCATTCCAAGTGCTTGAAAATATGTGCAAATATATGTTAATACTTTAAAATAGATAATGCATTGGGGCGCCTGGGTGGCGCAGTCGGTTAAGCGTCCGACTTCAGCCAGGTCACGATCTCGCGGTCCGTGAGTTCGAGCCCCGCGTCGGGCTCTGGGCTGATGGCTCAGAGCCTGGAGCCTGTTTCCGATTCTGTGTCTCCCTCTCTCTCTGCCCCTCGCGCGTTCATGCTCTGTCTCTCTCTGTCCCAAAAATAAATAAACGTTGAAAAAAAATTAAAAAAAAAAATAGAGAATGCAGAACATATTTTTAAATTTTATACAACAGGCTACTGTCACCTAAGCACTCTACAATTGCATAGTTCACTGATATTCCTTAATAAGCATAAATGGGGGAATCTCCTGAAGTTTATTCTTTTCATACAGTCACTCAATAGGCAGCTAGCCCAGATAGATAGATACGTGCCATTTAAAATAAATATTAACATTGTTATCTTATCAATACATGCCATTTAAAATAAATATTAACAGGGGCGCCTGGGTGGCGCAGTTGGTTAAGCGTCCGACTTCAGCCAGGTCACGATCTCGCGGTCCGTGAGTTCGAGCCCCACGTCAGGCTCTGGGCTGATGGCTCAGAGCCTGGAGCCTGTTTCCCATTCTGTGTCTCCCTCTCTCTCTGCCCCTCCCCCGTTCATGCTCTGTCTCTCTCTGTCCCAAAAATAAATAAACGTTGAAAAAAAAAATTTAAAATAAATATTAACATTGTTACCATATCAGTAACAAACAATCTAAAGAGTTATAAATCTAACCAGCTAGTTTGCTGTAGGGTTGGGAGCATCGTTGCGGAAGGCTCTTAAGGAGATGACATCCAAGCCAAGACCTAAAAGATGAGAAAAAGCCACAGAAGGGTTGGGAGATGAATGTTTTCGTGGGAACAACACAGTGTTGTCTATTGGCATATGGAAAGAAGTCCGGTGTGATGAATGGGGAAAGAAGACACAGTTAGCTTAAAATGATACTGGGGAAAAGACATAAACCTGATTTTTTCCCCTTTGTTTTTCTTTCTTTTTTTTTTTAAGTTTTTATTTAAATTCCAGTTAGGTAACATAAGAGCCTTAGAGAGACATCTGAATTTTATTCCAGGTATAATAAGAAATCATTGAAGGACTCTACCCAAAAAAGGCACGTAATCTGGAGTATATTTTTTGTTTTGTTTTGTTTTTTTCCTGACAGAGTGAGGATGAGCACATGTGTGCATGTGGGGGAAGGGTAGAGGCAGGGAGAGAGAGGGAGAGAGAGAGAGAGAGAGAGAGAGAGAGAGAGAGAGAGAGAGAGAGAGAGAATCCCAAGAAGGCTCCACGCTCAGCACAGAGCCTGATCCTGGGCTCAATCTCATGACCCTGGATCATGACCTGAGCTGAAGTCAAGAGTCAGATGCTCCACTGATTGAGCCACCCAGGCTCCCCTTTTTAAAAGTAATCTGTACACCCAACATGGGGCTTGAACTCACAACCTTGAGATAAAGAGTCACATGCTCTACCTACTGAGTCAGTCAGGTGCCCCTGCTTTTCTTAATGGAGCTTTCATTGATATCATTGTCAGTTCACTTGCAGAGGTAAGGAATAATACAGAGAGATCTGTCTATGCTTAATCCAGTTTTCCCCAATGGTAAAACTTGCAGAACTATACTACAATAGCAGAACCAGGATATTGACATTGATACTGATTTCCCCAATTTTGCTTGCACTTATTTTTGCATGTGTATTAAATTCTATGTAATTTTATCACCTATAGGTTCATGTATCCATCACCACAGTCACAGTCAAAATACCGAATAGTTCCAACATCACCAGAAGCCCTCGTGTTGCCCTGGTTTGTATATACCCACTTCCCTCCTCCCATTCCCCATTCCCGAGTGCTGGAGATCACTAATTTTTCTCCATTTCTAAAATTTTGTAATTTCAAAATGTCCTATAATGGATCATACATTATATAACCTTTTATGGTGGGCTTTTTTTTTTCTCAGCATAATTCCCTGGACATTGATCCAAGTTGTTGTACGTATCAATAGTCTACTCATTGGTGAGTAATATTCTATGGTTATAGGTATACCACAGTTTAAACATTCACCTATTGAAGGACACATGGGTTGATTCCATTTTCTGGCTATGGCAAATAAAGCTGCTATGAATATTCATGTACAGATATGTACAAGTATATGCTCATTTCTCTTGGGTAAATGCCCAAGAGTGTGATTACTGGGTTTTATGGTAATTGTATATTTTGTTTTATAAGAAACTGCCAAACGTTTCCAGATTGGCTATACCATTTTATAATTCTACCAGCAACATGCAAATGTATCTCTGTATCTTTGCTAGGATGCAATATTTTCACAGTTTTTTATTTTAGGCTTTCTGACAGATGTGTAGTGATATCTCGTGGTTTTAATTTGCATTTCTCTGTTGGCTAATCATATTGAACATCCTTTTTCTTTTGAGAAAGAGAGAGAGAGAGACAGACAGCAAACTTGGGAGAGGGGTAGAGGGAGAGAGAGAGAGAACCTTAAGTAGGTTCCATGACCCTGGGGTCATGACCTGAGCCAAAGCAACTGACTGAGCCACCCAGGCACCCCTGAATATCTTTTAATGTACTTATTTGCCATTTGTATATCCTCTTTAAAGAAATGGCTATTCATGTCTTTTTCCTGTTTTCTAATTGGACTGAGGTTTTGTTTTGTTTTGTTTTACTGTTTTTAGGGTTCTTTATATATTCTAGATACTTACTAATCTTTTGTTGCACATGTGATTTGCAAACTTTTTTTTCCCAATTTGTGGTGTGTCTTTGCATCCTCCTGAGGGGATCTTTTGCAGAACAAGTTTTTAATTGTGATAAAGTATAATTTATCAGTTTATCCTTTTATGGATTGTACTTTAAGTGCTAAGTCTAAGAACTCTTCACCTAGCCCAAGATCCCAAAGATGTTCTCCTGTGTTTTTTTTGCAAGTTTTATATTTTAATTTTTTTTAATGTTTATTTATTTTTGAGAGAGAGATAGAGTGTGAGCAGGGGAGGGACAGAGGGAGAGGGAGACACAGAATCCGAAGCAGGCTCCAGGCTCTGAGCTGTCAGCACAGAGCCTGTCGTGGGGGTCGAACCTACAGGCCATGAGATCATGACCTTAGCCCAAGTCAGATGCTGAACCGACTGGGCCACCCAGGCGCTCCTTAAGGTTTTATATTTTAAGTTTCACATTTAAGTCTACGATTTTAGTTACTATTTTTAAAAGGTATGAGGTTTAGGTTAAGGTTCATTTTTTTGCTAAGAGATGTTCAATTGATCCAGCACCATTTGTTGAAAACGCAACTTTCCATTGGTGAATTGCTGTTGCACCTTGTGAAAATTCAGTTAGACATATTTGTGTGGATATATTTCTAGGTTCTCTATTCTGTTCCATTGATTTGTGTATCTGTCTCTCCACCAGTACAACACCACGCTATTTTGATTGTTATAGCCATCAAGTAGGCCTGTAATATTGAGTGAAGAGATCCCCCCCCCACCTTTATCCTTCTTTAGTAAGATTGCTTTAGTTATTCTGGGACCTGTGCTTTTTCGCACAAATCAAATTTCAAAATAAGCTTGTCTGTTTCTAAACAAAAGAAAACGAAACAAAACAAAAACTTACTGGGATTCTTCATAAAAATTGTATTAAACCTATTGATCAGTTTGAGAAGAACTGACATCTTACTACATTGAGACTTTCCAAACATGAACGTAATACATCTCTTCATTTATTTAGGTCTTCTTTGATTTCTTTCATCATAATTTTCAGCATCTATATCCTATACATGTTTTGTTAAGTATATACCTAAGTATCTCATTTTTTTCGAAGTGATTGTAAATAGTACTGTTTTTAATTTCAGTTACTTCATGTTCATTGTTGGTATATAGAAATATGGTTTCATTTCTTGTGTTGATCTTGTATCCTGCAACCTTGCTGAACTCACTTGCTAGTTCTGGAGTGATTTTATTATTCCTCTGGATTTTCTTTTCTTTTTTTTTTTCTTTTTTAAAGATTTTATTTTTGGGGCGCCTGGGTGGCTCAGTGGGTTAAGCGTCCGACTTCAGCTCAGGTCACTATCTCGCGGTCCATGAGTTCGAGCCCCGCGTCGGGCTCTGGGCTGATGGCTCAGAGCCTGGAGCCTGCTTCCGATTCTGTGTCTCCCTCTCTCTCTGACCCTCCCCCATTCATGCTCTGTCTTTCTCTGTCTCAAAAATAAATAAACGTTAAAAAAAATAAAAATAAAAAGATTTTATTTTTAAGTAATCTCTACACCTGGGGCACCTGGGTGGCTCAGTTGGTTAAGCATCCAACTTTGGCTCAGGTCATGATTTTGAGGTTCATGAGTGTAACCCCACAGCTGGCTCTGCACTGACAGTGCAAAGTCTGTTTGGGGTTCTCTCTCTCTCCCTGTCTCTCTCTGTACAACCCTCTCCTTGCTTTCTCTCTCAAAATAAATAAACTTTAAAAATGAAGAATAAATAAATAAATAAATAAATAAATAAATGTAATCTCTACACCCAACATGGGGCTTGAACTTACAACCCCAAGATCAAATCAAGAGTTGCATGCTCTACTGACTAAGCCAGCCAGGTACCCCCCTCCCTTTTTTTTTAAAGATTTTATTTTTACCCTATGACCCAGCAATAGAACTGCTAGGAATTTACCCAAGGGATACAGGAGTACTGATGCATAGGGGCACTTGTACCCCAATGTTTATAGCAGCACTCTCAACAATAGCCAAATTATGGAAAGAGCCTAAATGTCCATCAACTGATGAATGGATAAAGAAATTGTGGTTTATATACACAATGGAGTACCACGTGGCAATGAGAAAGAACGAAATATGGCCCTTTGTAGCAACGTGGATGAACTGGAGAGTGTTATGCTAAGTGAAATAAGCCATACAGAGAAAGACAGATACCATGTTTTCATTTAGGTGGATCCTGAGAAACTTAACAGAAACCCATGGGGGAGGGGAAGGAAAAAAAAAAAAGAGGTTAGAGTGGGAGAGAGCCAAAGCATAAACGACTCTTAAAAACTGAGAACAAACTGAGGGTTGATGGGGGGTGGGAGGGAGGGGAGGGTGGATGATGGATATTGAGGAGGGCACTTTTTGGGATGAGCACTGAGTGTTGCATGGAAACCAATTTGACAATACATTTCATATATTGAAAAAAATGCAAAAAATAAATAAATAAAAACAAATAAAGATTTTATTTTTGGGGTGCCTGGGTGGTACAGTTGGTTAAGTGTCTGACTTTTGATCTTGGCTCAGGTCAAGATCTCACAGTTCATGAGTTCGAGCTCCACGTCAGGCTCTGCACTAATGTCATGGGGCCTGCTTGGGATTCTGTCTCTCCTTCTCTCTGCCCCGCCCCTGCTTGTGCTCTCTCTCTCTCTCTCTCTCTCTCAAAATAAATAAATAAACTTAAAAACTAAAATAAAACAAAATAAAATTTAAAATTTTTTTAAAGTAATCTCTACACCCAACATGGGTCTCCTTGGAATTTTCTATGTAGACAATCGTGTCATCTGCAAATAGAAACAGTTTTATTTATTCTTTTCCAATATGTATGCCTTTCATTTGTTTTCTTGACCTTTTGCAATGGCTAGAACTTCCAGTACTATGCTGAATAAGAGTGGTGAGAGCAGATAGCCTTCCCTTGCTCCCAATCTTGAGAAAGCATATAGTTTTTCAGCATTCTGTGTGATATTAACTGTAACTTTTTATAGATACTCTCAAGTTGAGGTAAATCTCTTATATTCCTCACTTACTGAGTGAATATTGTTTTTAAATAACTCTGGATGCTATAAGAGGAATACATTAGAGGAGACTTTAAAAAGTAGTGAGGTAGCCAGTTAGGTGACTATCACAGTACTCCAGGTGAAAGATGGTGATAGCCTAGGCTTAGATGATGATAGTGATCTGAACCAGGAGATAGGTGAGTGGATTCGAGATATATTTTGCTGTAGACTCTGTAGGATTTGCTGATGGATTGGATGGTTAGAGTTAGAAATTGCATTTGGATGCAACTAATAGAAAGTCTACTACAGGGCACTTGGGTGGCTCTGTCAGTTAAGTGTCTGACTCTTGATTTCAGGTCAGGTCATGGTCTCAGGGTCATGAGAGAGAGCCCTGCATGGGGCTCTGTGCTGGGCATGGATCCTGTTTAAGATTCCCTCTCTCCCTCTCCCTCTGCTCCCACCCCCCCCCCCCCCCCCCTCCTGTTCGCATGCTCCCCCACCCAAAAAAAAAAAAAAAAAAAAAAGTCCGCAACAATGACTTAAGTGGAGGGTTTTTCTCCCCCATATAACAATAGTCTGAATGTGACAAGTCTAACAGTTTAATAGTATTTTTATTGATGTCATCAGTGTCTCAAGATACTTCTATTCTTTGCTTTCTCATCACTAGCATATAGCTTTGAACCATATGGTCACAAGATGGATGCTGTACCTCCAGGTATCACAGATAAGTTCCAGTAAGGAAGATAGAGGGAGACTTGCAAAGATTTTCTTTTAGTAAAATTTTATGTAGAAAGTTAAGCACTTCTAGGATGCCTGAATGGCTCAGCAGGTTGAGCGTCTGACTCTTGATTTTGGCTCAGGTCAGGATCCTAGGGTCATGGGATCAAGCCTTACATCAGTCTCTGTGCTGAGCATGGAGCATGCTTAAGCGTCTCTCTCTCTCTCTCTTTCCCACTCCCTCTCCTTTCCTCTGCCCCTCTCCCCCACTCACACTCTCACTCTCTCTCTCTAAAAGAAAAAGAAAAGAAAGTTAAGCACTTCTGTAAAGATCCATTCATATTTCCTTGATCAAAACTATGTAACTGGTGTGCGCCTGGGTGGTTCAGTTGGTTAAGCAACCAAGTCCCAATTTAGGCTCAGGCCATGATCTCATGGTTTGTGGGATCAAGCTGCACATTGGGCTCTGTGCTGACAGTACAGAGCCTGCTTGAGATTCTCTCTCTCTCTCTGCCCCTCCCCTGCTTGTTCTTGCTCTCTCTCTCTCTCTCTCTCTCTC